TGTATGTGTGTGTGTGTATGTAGCTACCCATGCACAAAAACAGGCTTTTGTGTATCGCTGAAAAAAACTTGAGCATACCTTTATACAACTACAACTTCACGAAAAAGGTTAACGGTGTATAGCTAAACATACACTTACGTGTGCCTGTATCGGTGGCATTGCCGGCACAGTTGGCAATGGCTGCTATTTGCTGTAGTCTATTCTGTCGGGTAGCCACTGAGAGAACAAAGGGGAATAAATCTCAGTCGTTAGTTGGCAGAACTTTAGACCGTTCAAGTATTACATAGAAGAACGATTTAAGGTGGCAGGAGATACTATTTGTGTAAATTGGTTATAGTGAACGAACCACCCAATCAGAACGAACTGTAGGACTAGCAAATCCTGTGTATCAATAAACTTCAGCTGCAATCATCATAGACAATCTTGTCCTTAATTAGTGTAGAAGTATACGTTACCTTCATTCTGGACCATGCCAAATGCCTCTTTGAGCTGCTGCAGGCGCTTGTACTTTTCTGAGTTCTTCACAAACTGCATGCTCTCCTCAGCCTCCTTCTCCAGCGCTGTTAACGTATTCTGTTGTGATTTCCTGCATACCATCACGCGTCAATACACTCACATGGTTGTGTACACTGTGGATATTTGTATATCTGTACAGTTCACTGTCGGAACTTGCATGGTTACAGTGTAGATGTCCAATGCAAATCTTTGTTCCCCACTTGCGCTTATCTTAATGTTTGACTATACTCATGCATACACATACGTTCACGGATTTTCTTTTGAACCTCTACCTTCAGATATGTATATACATTATTGCCGAAATCGCTTGCGAAGCCTGCACAATAGTATGAGTCTCACTTACTGTGACAATTCCATCAGGTTAGCTCGCTCTGTGAGCTGTGCCTTTAGGGCCCTCACTTGGTTGTTCTGGCTCGTGTGTGCCGCACCGGTGCTATTTCGGTTTTATTTGGTGAGATGAGGTGAAAGAATCATATCTGAATATTTTAGCCGTAGTGCCTAGTAGCTTGGATTACTAGTTAGTTGGGTGCATACCAAGTCCTTCTGAAATATAAATCTCGCTTGTGCAGACGTTTCAAGTCTGAAATTCGAGTGATATTCAGATTAGATCATGTATTTGACCCCCACAACTACATTCGACTTCGTGTAGGTCATTGCCAATCAGAAGTTCAACCCTGATTCCCTGCAGAAAAGTTTAGGACTATACTATAAGATACGAGACCAATACGCAGCCGGCTTTCTCAAGTGTCAAATAGAGAATCACACACTGTAGGCAAAACTCTGAACAACTTCCGTCCGAGAATACATCATCACATATACGGCTCACCGCCTGGAGTGTAGTTCGTGGTCACCCATACGCATTGCCTTCAGCTCGAGCTGTATAGTTTCGTTCAGTATGCGCGTGCGTTCAATGTTGAGTGCCTTCGTCGTCTGCAGGTCCCTTATTGCGCGCTGCATAGCTGTGGCAGCCCATTAAACACAGCGACAACTGCACTCGTGAGTTGTGCATCATAGCAATCATAGCACAGCATTCCAGTATTCTATTGCGAGTGGACTAGTACACTACCCATGTACCTTCACGTGGACTGTGAAGAATCATAATCCTGACGTAGTATCATATCACGTGTGCACCAACACGACGTTGCCTCAACAGGATTGAGCAGTAGCAGGGTTTTAGGCTTTTACATAATCTTGTACAACAATACACCGATTAATCACTTTACGTATGTGCATGAGCTTCAAAACCTGTGATCTAGCATAAAAAAGTTTTATGCTGTATTCTATAACTGTGAAAGCAATACAATATCACATGTACGGCAAAAGCCATAAAGTTCTGGGATAGTCGAGAAAGCTATGTCGCAAGTAATGATTTTACGTAGTTCCGACGAGACTGAAATCCGAAGCGATTATCGCTGTCTCTATATGAGGCTTCACTCTACTGTAAGCAAACATCACGTCACGTACTGATATCCAGGATGTATCAATATATGCATGTAGTTATTTTGTTATTATATATATATATATACCATTCCTTTGTATATAGACTCGTGACAAACCTTCTTCTCTGGCGACCCGCTCCTTGAGAGTATCCAGCAACGCCGAGTGCTCTGTACACAACCATTACCACCATCAAGTGAGATCTGTATCTTATCTATGGTACAAATTAGATGAGATAATATATGCTTGGATATGATTTGAAGCATGGTGCAGACATGAGCCGTATTCACCCGCACTAGGTATCGATATTTCGCATTCCTAGACTTATCCCACCAAAAGGAAGGAGTGCTTAGGCAATCTTCTCTTGATTTTATTATATTTTATGGATATTCACAGTCATAAATGAATCCATTCTGTGTGAAAAGACAATTGATATCACAGGCCTGTAATATGTGATAGCTCCACCCGAAAACTAACGTTGCGATGTGAGGGTCGATTCACAATTTTTGATTCTCATCATTAATTGTAAATATTTCACGATGGATCAACTACGCTTATTTGTTAAATAGTCTGAGGCAAAGATCATACAGTAAGTGATAAACGATTCCTACGAGATGATTGTTTGTGATACTTGAGGGCTCTCCAGTATGTATCTAATCCTAGAGAGGCTGAATTAAATCCTTCCTACTTGGTGTATACAGTACACTCGGTAAACTGCAGACAAACACCCTAGGACAAATATTCAAGCATACATACGAACAGGTAAACACCCAATCGATCCAGAAAGCGATCAGATTAGAAAGTAATGCACAGTACCATTGTCATACGAATATAGCAAGGCACATCCAAGAAAGCAATATTGACCGTTAAATCTCAACTCAATTTAGACAATCAAATACGATTACTCGCTCGTGTTGGCACTCATTGCCTTGCATATATAGCCACAAAAATATATTAAACCCTTCCTTGTAACATGTATTACTACTCAAGTACTGTTGGGGCTGAATACACATTGGTAGTATCATTTCCGTCCTAATAAGGTTTTGGTCCAATTACCGTTTTCCAGGGCGCGTGCTCGGGTAAGAAAGCACTCGGAGAAGCTATCCATGCTTGCACGTTTTGTGTCATAGCAGTCGGTAAAGTGAACCGGCCAATGCCGAAAGGTACACGTTATCTGTTTGGTACTCCGTAGCAGACCTGTATTTCTCGTTAGTATTCGAACGTTCATTGATTTGCCCTTAGAATAGGGTGACAGTATATTTCATTACGTTCGTTGACTTCCTGTAACAAATATTTTATTACGGAACAGATGGTGCCCGTTCGCACAGCAGTGATAATGTGCAGATACAGACGCAGTAGGGTGTACGTCGATGGTAATTATCAGACCTGCATGTGTGGTGCTTATAGCAGGTCTGTGGAATTGAAGGAACTTCCGTTTGTTGGACTCTGCTATCCTTAATGCTGCAATTTCTATACATAGTAATAAACGCGCGTATGACCTAAAATACATATACTAAGATATGTAAACTGTACGAATCTATGCAGATTTTTGTGGTCACACGATGCTCTCGATTCATATTGCAGCTCTGTAATCGCCATTCTGTGCGCGTTCAGCCTCAATGAGCAACTTTTATTCTCATCACGTTCAAAATCAATATTCAAACTTAGTCTCGGCATCAACACCTGGTGCTTGTAGCTGCACGTTAGTTTTACAATATTATCATCCGCCTTCACTTAGAAAAGACATTACTGTACGCTCCATATCATATTAAACTATCAGTCCAGTCTCAGCATCTAACGCCTAGTGTGTGTAACCACCTCCTTCATTTCCTTGCAATACTATCACCCGCATTCACTTCGTCAAGTTCAAGTCGTATGCTCAGCAACAGGTATACCAAATGCAAACAACAACAGATACACAAGCTACACGATTTAATTGTCAGTAGAATATAAATCACAGTGCGACATGTCAGTGACTGACCAGATCCAGATGCAACTGTACACCTCGAGCAGTGGGGATGCCCTATCCTTCACAGTAGCGGGTCTTATCGATACTATATACCCTGTACTATATATGTGCAACGAGGGCCGAGATCCAACACTCAGGCAAACTCTATTTATAAAGTGATCGTTCAGATACAGTATGCAAGTGCTATCTGTTGTGCTTGCTAGAGTTGTGGTGTCCACCTCAGTTCCTTTACTAACTATATACACACCACTCTTTGTGTCTATGTCGTGCGTGAAAGACTGAAAGTGCACCATACAGCTAGCTACACAAGTGATAAAAAAAATATTCAAAATCAGTCACTTTCGTGTGGCTTCAGCCTTCGAAGTTGTAAATAACTTGTAAATATGTCCATTTACTATGTTAGAAAACAGTCCCGCCGAACCAAATTTTCCAACGTTTGCCCAATGGAATTGAGTTTAGGATATATATATTTATATTATTCCTCGTACAGTCACGTACCCTTCTCTTGTTTGATTTCAGAAGGCTATGCAGCATAAATACACGCATTCAAAAATAAATACATGTTCACACAAGGATCCTTTATTAATGGCTTTCAACTGTCTGTACTTATATCTTTTCATATATATAACGTCCATGCGATCTGTAGACTGTAGGCGTACATTTACTTTAAGCTCTATATACCCAGAATAAATATCAATATATATATTATTTTTACAGAATGTCTGTTAGATTGTGGTGTTGTAGACCGGTTACACACCTACTCACAGCTCGAACCGTGTGCATTCAACATAGTATGCGACATGTCTCCAGTGATGTGCTACCTTCAAAGCCAACGTGGTCGGTACGAGAACTTCTCAGGAAGCGAGACGACGTGGCTGTAGGTGTGTGTATTTGAGTACTCATTGTATGTGTACATGTGTTTGAAACGTCGGTATTTACAGGATAGTTTTTATTTTATCTCCATATTTTGAGGAAACGTGGTGTTAGCTCAATAGACTACGCTAATTGATATAATTTTTATGTATATTATGAGTTGCTCTGTCAGCGTTGTGCATCCAATTACACTCAATGAGATACCTTGACCAATTCCCATTTAGTTACGCGTGTTGAACAAGCTCAGTATAAGAGATGATTGGAGTATCGTATTATGTGGTATATTTAGATAGCTCTCTCCAAATATATATGACATGACATAGTTTTTGTATTTGATCAAGCTGCAGGAATTAAAAACCGGAGCGCATGTTTGTCCAAGTATTTAGTGCATGCGCCCTGCAAGCATTGCACACACGTCTCTGCTGCACACACGTCTCTGCAATTCTCTCCATTAATCTCATTAATCACTATGGAAAGACAAGTGTACTGGCAACGTACATTAGTCCTATCGTGCACACTCTTACAGAATGGATGGCTTAGTTCATACATACACAATCGTGTGCATTGAAGACGTAAATGGTACCACACGTAGTTTTGGAATACCGAACTGTGTTTATCATGTACAGCGGCTGGCGCTGTTTGTACACTACATCGTGTGCTGCCGCTGAATGCTGTCTAAATACCTCATAGCTGCATAGTCTGGACTGGGCCTACTGTATTGAATACAAGTGGTATACAAAACATTATCAGTGATAACTATATGCTGGTGTATGTTATCTAGATGGAAATTCACGTGTACGTTACTGGTATTTATAGAGCGAGCTTCATATATCGATGTACCAGGTGATCTTGTTTGTGTTATTGTGTTACTTCTCCGGTACGACGGGTGCGTTTGTTTCGCATGTGCTTCGTATCGCTGTAGTATCGCAATAGGTGACTTTTGGTCATGGTAGTTGGACAGGATCACCCAAACGTTGTAGTTCTAAAACAAAACCACAACGCATTACACCAATCCGGGGTATTCAGATAAGAAAGATATACTCAAAGCGGCTGCCCTGTGTCAGATATCGATGAGTGACAAACAGCTGAAGACAGTGACCAAGGAAGTGGAAGACCTGCTGCACTTTATTAAACACGTACAGGATCAGGACGTTGAGGTGAGCTTGGCCAAATGTTTGTGTGTATTTGGCCACTTTGGACCACTTTTTTTTTGCGAATAAACTTTTAGTATTGTGTAGAAGAGTGTGCATACCGAGCGGTAGAGTACTTATAGTTTGTCCACAGGTGTATGTCTTCACACACCAAACGAATGATTTGTTACTACAATTGTATCAAATCGATAAACTGTACATTGACTGGGTATCATATAACAGCAGGTCTTTATTTCTACGAGTATGCTGATTGGAGTACTTCCAGTCTTATATCTCGAGATCCCTGTATATAGGTAGTAGGTGCTTACGCGCGTTTCTCGCGAAGACTTCAAGTGTATGAAGGCACTTGGGACTTACCCGCATGTACTATCTTACCTACAGTTCGCACATACACTCGTGCATGACTATATGTTGGGATATATAGTTTGTAAGCATTCTTCAAATCTGAGACCGGAGATACCAAGAAAACATCCTGCGAAGCCAAACATACATAATGTTGGAAGTTGGCATCATATTGTATCCGCAATTTCGGCCTAACTAATCGACACAAACCACTCGTGCATAAGTCTCTGTCTGGTAGACTATATGCAGGACTTGCCCCAAACTCACCTTCAGCACCTGCGTGCACAGCCAAGAGCTAGTATGTATTCAACGAATCTTCCCACATGTGACTGTTACTGACATAACGAACTCGAAAGTTAGCAGATCTACCTATATACTGTATCGGTGCCAGTGCCGCCTTGTCCAGAGTGGCTTGCATATCTAGCTACATTAACTCGACATGATCTTCTTTCACGTCTGGTTGTAATTGTCAGGGAATCGAACCCACCTACTCGGTGAAAGATCAGATTAACAGACCCAGACCAGATATGCCTCTGGAGGCCCAGCCAGACCAAGCACACATCACCAAACATGCGAAGGAGGTATGAGATATGATAATGTATTTTGTGAGCGATGTTATGCGATTTACCACCGCTTGTCGGGAGTTCAGAATCTACGACCGCCGTACACTATGACCAATGTGCGATGTTTGGAGCGTGGCATGGTGTGTGTGGATGTAAGCATCTGCGCACGGTTGCTTTCTAGGAATCACCTGCATATACATGCATCAAGTGCTTAGGAAAGGAGTCCATCTCTGATATGTTGGTGTTCAGGGACGCTTGTACTTGTGCGCTCGTGTGTGTGTGTGTGTGTGTGCCTATGTATACATGTTTGTATCAGTACTGTCGCTTGGATCGTGTACGTATCTTCTATACTGATATACTATGCCGATTTCCAAATAAATTCTTGTTGCCTTTATTGGTAATGTCAAAATAATGTATGACCGGTTGTAAATATATTGCAATATA